TCCCCCCCCCCCCCCCCCCCCAGCGACGCGCCGCCTGCTGCGCCCTGCCCCTGGTGGTGCCGCCGCCCGCAGGTGCTGCACAGCCTGTGGCACAGCAACGCGCTGCCCAGCCGGGGGGAGCATATGCGGGAGGCGGATGCGCTGGCGCTCATGATGCATGTGGGAGACTGCGTGGGGGCGCTCAGGTGCGTGCGTGTGTGTGTGTGCGTGTGTGTGTGTGCGCGCGCTTCGGGTCGGGGCTGTGCTGGATGCGTGTTGCAAGGGTGGGGGAGGGTTTGTTTGTGTGCTGTGCGCTGCTCGGCTGGGGAGCTGCGGCCTCGCCCCTTGAATCCCCGCTCTGACGCTGCCGGCGCTGCCGCCGCACCTGCTGCCGCCGTCCACCCTGCAGGCTGCTGCTGGAGGAGGGTCCCGGCGCCTGCCTGGCGCGCCTGCCTGCCGCACTGCGCTCGCTGGCGGCGTTTCTGGGAGAGGGGCTGGCGGCACGGGGCCCCTTTGGCGGCGGCCCCGTGCCGCCGCTCAAGGCGCGCATACTGGAGGTGGCAGCAGCCTCGCCTCTGCTGCGCTGGGCCCAGCAGCGCGGGCAGCAGCCCAGCACGGCGCAGCGGCAGCCTCAGCAGGGGGCGGGCGAGGCCGCGGTGGAGCAGCAGGCGGGCCAGGCGACCGCCGGCAGCCCGCAGCCCGCGGCAGGCGGCGGCGGCGGCGGCGAGGGTGTGGGGCCCGAGGTGGCTGCCGCCGCTGGCTGCGCCCGCTCGGCGGCGCTGGTGGAGCTCCTGCAGGAGCTGCGGGAGGACCGCCAACTCAGCGGCCGGCAGCAGCGCGTGGCGGTGGTGGCTGCCAGCCACGGCTCGGTGGATGCGCTGGGCCGGCTGCTGGCAGGCTGCCAGGAGCTGGCTGGCATGAGGGTGTGCCTGCTGCGGGATGCGGCCCAGGGGGAGCAGGAGGGGAGCGGGGCCTTTGTTGACACCGCGCCTGCGCCGGCTGGCAGCGGCAGCGGCGTAGGGCTGGGTGCGGCACTCGAGTCGGATGGCAGCGACGACCTGGCTTCGGCGGTGACGGCGGCAGGGTGGCTGGACGCGGCGGCGAGTCGGCTGCAGAGCAGCGAAGGCGAGGCGGCGGCGGGGGCAGCAGCGGCTGAAGCCGCCGTCGAGGGCTTGCCGCCACCACCACCACCAGCAACAGCAGGCGCGGAGCAGGCTGGCGCGGGTGCTGCGGCGGCAGCTGAGCCTGCTGCGCCTGCCGAAGCGGCGCCAGCGCCTGGGATGGGCAGCATGGAGGTGCACCTGCTGCCGGCATCTGATCTGGCTGAGCTGCAGCAGCGGATCGGCGCATACCACGCCCTCGTGTGGTGAGCTGGGCACCCGCTGCACGGCACACCTGGCCGCTGTGCCGTGCACTGTGCTGCCCTCACCGTGCGCCCTCCGCCTTGCCAACCCTCTGCGACGCGCCGCCGCCCTCGCCCCGCTTCTTTTTGCTCGCAGGTACAGCGCCGGCGCCGTGCTGCACGCCTCCAGCCAGGAGCTCGAGTCGGCAGCCCTGGCTGCCTGCCACAGGCTGTCGGCCGCCGCGGCAGAGGCGGCGGCTGTGGGCGAGGGCCGCACGAGCGATGCGGGTTCCGCGAGCGATGGCGCCGCCTCCACCCCCGGCCACGGCCGCCTGGAGTGCCATGTGCTCGCCAGCGCCAGCCAGGTGCTGGCGCTCGGCGAGGTGCGGCGGGTGGACCACTCTCTCAAGGTGGGTGCGGAGCCGCTGCAGGTTGCGGGTGCGGGGGTCAGTGAGCAGACCCCTCCGCGCCCTAATCTGCTTGCTGTGCTGGTCTGGCGGTTGGCGGGCGGCTGGTGGAGCTGCCTGCCCCCAGCCCCCGCACGCCTTCCCAGCCGAGCTCATCGGCGGCTGCCCCCCTTATTGTGCGGCGCTGCAGGCGGCGATGCAGCTGGTGCTGCTGGGCGACGCGGCGGCCGAGGAGAAGCTGACGATGCTGGCGCACCGCAACACGGCGACGGTACTGGAGCCGCAGGCCCGCCTGGTACTGGATATGCTGTGCCTGGGCCTGTGCGGTACCGCCCCCGCCCTGGCAACCATGACGGCCAGCCCAGCTAAGCCCGAGCGCGGCGGCCGCGGCCGCGGCGGCGACGAGGCGGGCGAGGGCGAGGCGGCGGCGGGGCCACCCCTGGTACTGTTCCAGTCGAGCGTGACGCTGCCGTCGGCCTACTTCCCTCCGGAGCGCTTCCACATGGCGGGCGCCAGCATGCCGCTGGATGTGTTTGTGGGCCCACCGCTGCCCTCGGAGCAGCAGGCCTCCAATGCGGCGGCGCTGGCGGCCCTGGCGGCGCTCCACCGCCTGGGCATCATCGTCCGCTACTGGCCCTCCCGCCTCCTCCTGGCACAGCACCTGCTGCCGCGCAGCCTGCAGGGCCAGCCGGCAGCCGGTGCCGGCGCCGGGCTGGGGCCGCCTCCGCAGCAGCAGGCGGCGGGAGCGGGCGCCGACGCGGCGGCCGGCTCGTCGCAAGCAGCCGAGGGCGCGGCAGCGATGGCAGCGGCAGCAGCAGCGCTGGCTGGCAGCTGGCCGCAGGCGCCGTCAGGCGGCGGCGGCGGTGGTGCCGCCACGCCGCCGCATGTCATGAACTTTTTCTGCCCTCTGTGCAACGTGAGTCTGGGACAGCGCATGGCATGGCATGGCATGACGCAGCCTTGTGCGTGCTGGCGCATTGCGAGGGTGCAGCACCGGCACGTTGTGCTGCTGACGTCAGCCTGATCAGCAACCAAGCACAGCCAGCACTGAGGCAGCCCACCCCCGCTGCCCCTGCCTGCAGGTGGCGGCCACCGGGCATAAGGTGGGCCGCCCGCAGGCTGGCCCCCACTGTGCTGTTTACATACACAGCAACAGCGCTGCGCCGCCTCCCTGCCCTGCTCCCCCACCCCGTCCCAGCCCCGCCCCGCTGCGCCCCTTGGGCCGTGCTCTGCAGGCATTTGACGCGCACATGCGCGGCTTCCGCCACCAGCGCCGCATCAAGCAGGCGGAGCTGCTGCAGCAGGGGCAGGAGTGAGTCGCTGGCTGGAGGGCCGGCCGCGTGGCTCTCCACGCCTCGGTTTGCACTTCACTCGCCGCCCTGGCAGGCGTTGTGGCCGAAGGCTGCTGCAGCGATAAAGCACTGACTCGTGGAGAAGTGCTGCTGAGCTGCCACCGCTGCCGTGCCGCCCCGCCCCCCTGCAGGGTCAGCGCCATGCTGCAGGGGCTGCTGCTGGAGGATGCCCTCCCCGGTGGCAGGGCGCCGCCGCTGGCTGTGGGGCACCCGGGCCTGGATCTGGAAGAGGAGGAGGCAGGTGGGGCCATGATGCCGGGGTGTGGGGCGCTGCCTGCACCGAGCGCTGCTCATCGGTGCCTGCCAGCCGGTGCGCTGCCCTCCGTTGGCCGGCGGCGCAGCACAGGCGGCCCCGCCTCGCCCGGTGAGCTTGCCGACGCAATCTGCTTCCCGCTGGCTGCTGTTGTGCTGCTGCCCGGAGCGCAGGCGAGTACGGCAGCCCCAGCTTTGCGGACCGGCAGGTGTACAGCCCGGAGCCGACGGCGTACCGCTGCGACGTGTGCGGCGTGTACTGCACCAGCCTGCGCCTGCTGGAAGCGCACACGCGCGGCCGCAAGCACCAGCGCCGAGTGGCAGGCCTCGACTCGCCCGGCGGCCCCAACCACCCGGGATCCCCCAAGTGAGCGGCCCCCGCCTGCCGCGCGCGGGTGGCGGGCTGCGTGCTTGTGGGGACGACGTGGCGGCAGCCGCGCAGGGAGTCGCACCTGTGGTCCTGCCAGGCAGCCAGTTGCGGCGGCAGCGTGCCGCTGCGTGCCATATAATCGACCCGCTTGCTCCGTCACCAGAGGCATTGAAATGCTGCTGTCTCCTCCGCTGCCGCTCCCGCAGGATCCAGCCGCTGGTGACGCCTTACTTTTGTGGAGTGAGTGGGCGCAGCGCTGAGGGATCGCCACAGGCAGCATCGCCCCTGTTCCCTTTTTTCGCTGCGGGAATCGAACCCCCAACCCCTCACCCCCAATGCCCACGCTCTCCTCCCCCACGCAGCTCTGCGGCTTGTACGCAACCAGCGAGGAGCAGCTGCGCATGCACATGCTGGGCAAGCGGCACACGCGCATGGTGCAGCTGCACCGCCAGCGTGGCGCCATGCTGGCGGGCGCCGCGACGCCGCCCGGCGCCGGCGCCTGGCAGGAGCCCGGTGCCAGCCTGCAGCAGCAGCAGCACCAGCTGCTGACCGCGGCCGCCGCCGCCGCCGCCGCCGCGGCAGCGGGCGCCGGCGGCGCCGGCTGGGGCTTTGGCGCCGGCGGCGGCGCCGCCGAGCACGAGAGCCACTCGCCGCTGGCTGCCGCCCTGGCGGCGGGCATGGAGGCCGGCGGGCCCTCTCCCGGCCTGGGCACCCCAAGCGGCTACGCCTCCCCCTCGCTCCTGGCAGGCCCCGCAACGCTGCCTGGCGGCGGCGCCGGCGGCGACGGGTGGGCGGCCGGGGAGCTGCAGGCGGCGGTGCTGCAGGGCATGCTGCTGGACGCGGCGGGCAACCAGCGCATCTATCGGTGCGACCTGTGCGGTGTGGTGACCCCCTCACGGCGCCACTACGACTACCACTTACAGGTGGGCGGCGCCTGCCGCGCGGTACCGCCTTGCCGCGCGGTACTGCCTACTGGCGGCAAGGAAAGGAACCGGCGTGGTGGGATGCCCGTGGCCGGCCCGCGCTGCTGCCTGCACGCCCCTGCGGCGGCTGCGGCAGCGGCGTTGCAAGGCGGCTTGCCTGGTGCGCCCCGGGCCGCTGCCGCGCCTGCCGCGCCTGCCGCGCTGCTGTGCCGAGCGGCGTGTGCATGCGCGTGCCGCGGTGCAGGGCATCAAGCACACGCGGCGCCAGCTGCGGGCGCAAGGCCTGGATCCGGGCTCCGCCTCGCAGCCCGGCACCCCTGCCAGCTGCGGCAGCCCCCTGGGCGGCAGCCGCAGCACCAGCCCCGCCCGCGCCGCGCGCGGCCGCCACTCCCGCCACAGCAGCGCCGACTGGGGGCCCGGCGGGGTGGGCATCGCCGCTGCGGCCATGGCGGCGGCGGCGGCGGAGCCGCCCCCTGAGTCGCTCATCTGCTCTGTGTGCGGCATCATGGCCACCAGCGCAGTAAACCTGGAGGTGCGAGGGCTGGCTTGGGGGGTTGCGGGGCAGGGGCTGGTGCGCCGCACAGCTGGCCGGCTGGCTGCAGGGGGGCTGCTGCGTGGGCTGCTGGCTGCCCGCGTCACGCTGGATGCCTGGAGACGGCAGCCTAGCCAGCCTTGATCTGCACCCCAAGCCCCCCTTCCACCCCCCACCTGCAGGACCACTACAAGGGCCGGCGGCACCAGAAGAACGTGGAGCGGCAGGCGGCGCAGGAGGCGGCGACCGCCGCCGCCATGGCCGCCGCCGCCGCCGCCGCGGCGGGCCAGCTGCCGCCGCTGCCGCCCAACGTCTCCGCCGTGGGCGGCCCCTTTGCCAGCACTGCGGCGGCGGCGCCGGGCGGCGGCGCGCCCGCGGCCCCGCCGCCGCAGGCCCCCCCCGCCCTGCAGCGCTCCACCAGCGGCATCACGCTGGGAGCCGACGGGCTGCGCCTCAGCGGCGGCGCCCTGCTGTCCGCGGGCTCCCTGCAGCGCCTGCCCAGCGGCGACGTGTACGACGGCTTCCCCTGCGTGCGCATCGGCGACGTGCTGCTGCCCTCCAGCATGGACCTGCGCGCATTCCTGGGTGGGTGGGTGGGCAGGTGGCTGGGGGTGGGGCATATGTGCGCGCGCATGTGTGTGTTTGCGTGTGTGTGGCGTGGCAGAGGTGTGTGTGTGTGTGTTGGGGTGGGGGGGCGTACCTGTGCATGTGAAGACGGGGCGGCGGTCTTCTGGAGGCGGCCGTTGGCCCGCCGGCACGGGCTGCCGACCCGAGGCGTGGCCACGCGTTGCCGCTATCCCCAAGGGTCCCACCACCCGCACCCCCCGTCCCGCGCTGGCCGTGGCGCAGAGGAGATGCAGCATCTGGATGAGGCGGAGGAGGAGGCGGACCAGCTGCCGCCCATCGCTGAATACCTGGAGGTCGGCGGCGAGCTCGAGGCGTTTGGCAGCTCCACCCACCTGGCCGCCAGCCTGCCGCCGGCCAGCCAGCCGCGGGAGCAGGCTGCCTGGGCCCACGGCAGCGGCGGCGGCGCCGGCCCGGCCGCCGCCTCTGCGGGCTGGGGCGGCAGCAGCGGCGGCGGGGGCGGCGGCGGCGGCGCGGCGCACGCCGGGGCGACCTCGCAGCGTTACCCCCGCCAGCCCAGCCACGGCGCAGGCTCCAGCAGGTCCCAGCCCAGCTCTCCATCCTTCCAGCCATCCGCAGGCGGGGGTGGCGGCGGGTATGGCCGGCAGGGCGGGCGCCCCGGCTCCGCAGGCCCCCGCCTCTCCCGCTTTGCCCACGACCAGCAGCAGGCGCACCAGGAGCTGCAGGCGGCGGCGGCTGCGGGGCTGGGCTATGGCCACCAGCTGGGCATGCCGGGCGGTGGGGGCGGGTTTGGCATGCAGGCCCCTGGTTATGCCATGCACCTGGGCATGCAGCAGCAGCAGCAGCAGCAGCAGCAGCAGCAGGCCTTGATGGGCCAGGCCGCCTATGGCGCCGGCGCCGGCGGCTACGGCGTGGCTCCAGACTATGCCGCCGCCAATGCCGTGCTGGCTGCGCAGCAGCAGGCCATGATGCAGCAGGCGATGCAGATGCAGCAGATGCAGCTGGCGGCGGCATACGGCGGCGCCGGCATGCCCGCCATGCCACTCGGGTATGGCGGCGTGGCGCAGGCGCAGGCGGCGCACCAGCAGCAGCAGCAGCAGCAGCAGGGCGGCTCGCCGCACGCCTTCTTCCCGCCGCCCAGCCTGCCCTCGCACCAGGGCAGGGTGCCGCCCCTGCCGCGTCCCAACAACAGATACCAGTACTGAGCGACCTCCCAACCCGCAACCTCCCAAGCCCGCAAACACACCTGCGCTTGTTCTCCCTGCAGTGAAGCAAGCTGGCAGGGGGCTGCACCAAGCCCCTGCCGACACCGCAATACGCACCTGTCCTTGGCAGTGGTTGCCGCCAATTTCCTCAGCAATTACATGTTTGAGTAGCTTTTATTTTAATTGCTTGCTGATTGTGTGAAGCAACCAATTGCGAGAGCGGCACCTGCTTCGGGCGGGCGGGCAAAGCGGCGGGCACGGTCGATGGCCAAGGCTGGCTGGCCCGTCAAGCAGTTTCAAGCCTGTCAAGGCACTACTTGCCTGCCGCAGGAGGACTGCAACAAAGAACTAATGCAGCGAACGGGTGGGGTGCGTCCACCGGTGCTCGGTGTTGCGCAGTACGGCGGCTGTACTACGTCATGCTCCCCCCTCTCACATTGGTGCCCCCCAGCCACGCCGCAGCGGCATGGCATGTGATGCATGCCTTCTTTTCATGCTTGGGGCCCTCCACAGGTCCTGCTTTCAAACGCTTGTTTCGCGAGCGTGACAAGGCCCGGTTGCTCGCCAGCACCAGATCAAGAGGGTGCAGCTTTGCCCGATGGTAGAGCACGTATCACTCCTTGATGCCAGCCCGGCGAGGAGAGCGGAAAGCTGTCGGATGGCATGGTTGGGCTGGGGAATTGGCGCAAGTGCGCTGTTGACCGCGCTCATTCTCATGCAGCGATCATATGGTGAGTCGCGGCCCTGCCTGGACGCCCGCGGCGCCCCCAACTGCCCGACCGCCAGCCGCCAGCAGCTGCCGCCAGCCGGGCCCAGTCCACTGTGCCGCGCACATAACACACGAGCCACAAGCCAACTGAGCCCTGCCTCTAAGCTGCTGCTCTTGTGGCTCGCCTGCCTACTGCAGGGGGCGGGCAATGGCGTCCTTGGCAGGGCCTGCACCCACGAGTGCCCCGCCCTGCCCCGCTCCCCAAGGTGTGCCCCTGTACAGGCGTACATGTGTCCTCTCTGAGTGCCGCTCCTATGTTGCGATGCTCACCGAGGCTGACCACCTCTTGGACTCTGGCCTGCCTGCAGTTCCCCTGGAAGCGGCTGCTGTCGGACGAGGAGGTGCAGCAGGGGATTGCCCACTATGGCGGCGGCAGCAGGCTGCGGCGAGTGGCGCAGAAGCTGCTTGCGGGGCAGCCTGTCAAGGTGTACACCCTGGGCGGCTCAGTCACCTTTGGGCACGGCGTGGACGACCCCAGGCTGAGCTACCCCTCGCTGTTTTTTCAGTTCATCAATGCCAGCTTCCCCCACAGGCGAGCGGGCGCCCGTGGTGCGCGAGTCTGGCCCTGCCGCTGCCTGTATCACTGGGGCCGGCATGGTGGGCTCACGAGCATGCTGCACTGACCTCTTGCAGGGAGCATGTGCTCAGCAACCAGGGCATGCCAGGGTCCACCAGCCAGGTCACCACGCCATGCCTCAATAGCATGGTTGCAGCGGTGGGTGGCCTGCCTGGGCGGCCGCTGCGCTGATCTATTGGCGCTTGTTCGGGACTGGATCACGCTGCCGCTGCGCCCTTTGCATGCCTCACGCAGCTGCCGTCTGCCTTGCTGTGCAGGACGCTGATTTAGGTGGGACATGATGCGTGATGCTTGCCCTGCGCTTGACGTGCCAGCCTCTGTTGCCAGCAGCCCTGTGCAGTTCCAGTCTGAGAGTCTGAGAGAACCTTGGGTCTTGCCGCTGCCCCTGCCCTCTCCCCTCCCTTGCAGTTTCGGTGGAGTTCTCGGTCAACGACCCCACCACCTCCTTTACCTCCTCGGGGCGGCACTCATACGAGGCGCTGCTGCGTCAGCTGCTGTCGCTGCCCAGCCGGCCCGCCGTGGTCCTGCTCCATCACTACCCGTGGTGGAAGGCGGCGGGTGATGGCCTGAGCAGCGGCCTGTTCTACAGAGAGCCCGAGGGGCAGCTCAACACCTTCTCCTATGTACGTCCCGATGCAAGCAGCCGCTTCGCCGCAGCTTGCTCGCCCGCCGCCTGCCCAGCACACCAGCATTTGCGAGCGGGCGGTGCTCATGGCCGCACAAGTGTCGGTTAAACATGCGCCTGCCACTCGACATGCAGTTTTACGACCTGCCGTCCCTGTCGCTACGGTCGGCGGCATGGCGGCTGATGGCGGCGGGCATTGAGGGGTTCAAGGTGTGGCGCCCCCGCTGAACATGTTCCATTACTGTCCCGCCCAGTGGCAGCTGGCCCCTGTCTACAACACGAGCTTGTCGGCCATGTTCTGTAGGTTGACAAGTTGATATTGGAGGGCAACCGGGACGCCAGCACCGGGGAGCCCATACCCACCGCCGCCGCCGCCTCCCGAGCCGACTATCTGTACATTGACACGTGAGGCGGTCGGCCAAGGGACGCGCTGCTGGGCAATCACCTGCATTGCTGCCGCGCTCCAGCGGTGTGCTCTGGTTTTGCGCATGTGCACGCCCATATGCTATCCCATGGATGCTGTGCCTGCTGTGGTTGCCCCACCTGCTACAGCATCCACCCCGGCCCCAACGGCCACCAAGTGTTGGCGGAGCTGCTCAGCGGGCTGCTGAGGCGAGCAGTGGGCGAGGTAGCAGTCGGGGCGGCGCCAGCAGCCCGGAGAGACCCACGGCTGGAGGGGCTGCCGCCGCCCATGATCCCAAACTTCGAGGAGAACCAGGCCTCGCTCTGCGCACAGCTGGTGAGGCGGCCTTGACATTCCCCAGCGCCTGCGCCTGCCGGTGTCAGGCAGCAGGGGCAGGCTGGGAGGGCAGCAGCACCTAGCAGAGCAGATTCAATGCAGAGAGGCGCGCCCCTTTGTGGCCCCAACTCAGCTGGCATGCCCTGCTCATTCCTGCCACCCTGGCTGCTCCTGCGCGGCAGGAGGCCTTCAAGACCATGGTGGCACGCCAGCGGGGCTTTGAGTACCGCCCAGAGAAGCCGCTGCTTCACTCCTGGGTGGAGCAGAAGTGGGGGTGGACCGGCAGTGAGCCAGGTGGGTGGTGCTGGTTTCGGTGGGAAGGACAGCAGCAGCTGGCACCTGCTGCCAGGGGTCAGCGCCTGTCACCCAGCGCCGCCTCCTCCCACCGACCGATGCTGTCGCTGCAAAACTTGCAGGGTCTTGGGCTGAGATAGAGGTGGACACGCGGCCCAAGCCGGGCACCAAGGCCCGCCGCACGTCGCTGCTGCTGTCCCACCTGCGCAGCTACAGTGGCATGGGCACCGCCGCTGTGGAGTGTGTGTCGGGGTGCGCCTGCGACCCCAACACCCTGGATGGCACCACCGCCAGCCACGTCTCTGTCTTCAAGGTCCACTCCTTCAAGGTGCGCCCGGCTGCCTGCTGAGCATGCCGTGTGCGGCAGCCAGCTGCGGGATGCCGCCGCCGGCTGCGGCGGCTTGACCCACGGCAAGCTGCTCGTGCGCAGGTGTCACAGCATGCCCGCTGCCGCATCCGAGTGACCGTCAGTGATGAGCGGGGAGAGACACCACAGGAGGGGCACAAGGTGGGCAGCGCCCAGCGCCTGTGCGGGTCAGATTGCATGCCGATTGTGCTGCACCCACTCCGACACCTGCAGCATCTGTCGGCAGCTGCATCATCATCATGGAGGCCCAACCGAGCCCTGCCTGCCTGCCTGCCTGCCTGCCTGCCTGCGAGCAGGTCATGCTGGCGGCGGTGATGGTGACACACAAGGTGCACTGACGCTGCGCCTCTAGCTGGTTGTAGAATCGCCCACAGAATTACCAGAAGAATCCAATCCCTCAGACTGCCCAGAAGAACAGAACAATTTACTTGGAGCCGCGCCCCGCGCATGTAATCGCTGGCTACCGCTGGCCCTGCTTGCCCAGGTACTCCACATTGAACAGCAGCACGGCACGCGGGGGTATGACCCCGCCTGCGCCGCGCTCGCCGTATGCCAGCTCGCTTGGGATGATCAGCTGCCGCTTGCCGCCGGCCTTCATGGGCGGGATGCCCTCCGCGCCCAGGATGCCCTGGTCCCAGCCCTGCGGGGACCATAGGCAGGACCATAGGCAGGACCATAGGCAGGACCATAGGCAGGACCGTCATGGGCCAGGCAGCAGGAACAAACGGCCGTGCAGTGGCAAGGCCAAGGCCACAGCATGCCGGCCAGCCTTGAAGCGCTGCCCCCCCTACCTTGATGACTTGGCCCACGCCGACCTGCAGCTCATGGCGGGGCGATTGCAGGCGGGCAGGGACTGGATCAGATTGCTGGGTGGAGACGCAAGTGGCGCCGCGGGCAGGCTGCTGCCCCGCGGCTGCCCAGCCGGCAGCCTCACCTGGAAGACGAGCGGCCGCCCGCGCTCGTAGCTGGAGTCGAACACGACGCCGCTGGGCAGCCTGCCGGTGTAGTGGGCCCTGATGCGCGCCCCTGCCACCGGCGCCTCCCCCGTCCCCTCCACGACGTCGCACCACTGCAGGCCCGATGCCGCCGTCTGGTACTCGCACTCTGCCGCCAGCGCACCCGCCTGGGGCAGCGCAGCGCCTGCGATGGCAGCTGCCGCTCCCAGCAGCACTGCCCGGCGCTCCATTGGGGCCGCGCTGTGGCTCGCCTGCTGCTGGTGGCCGCGGTGCGCGCAGGTGGTGATGGGGGCGGCGGAGCGGGAGCGGTGGTGGCAGCGGGCGGCTCCTGCCAGATGGAAGGGCTTGGCTGCAAGCCGGCAGCACAGAACACTCAATGAGCGTTGCTGGACGGCCTGCAAGTGCTCAGGAAGCCAAGGCTGGAGCACCGCACCAGAGATGGCCAGCATGTTGAGAGCTTCTCGCCACTTCCCGATCCACAGACGTGCGTCGACACTGGTGCAATGCTGGCAGTTGAGCCGATGGCCCGGAACGAGCACTTCTGCTGACTGGCCGCCAGGCTGGCCATTGGGGCCTCCCCAACGACGCGATGCTCGCGATCACCCAACCCCATGATGGCAACTGTATCTGCTCACTATCGGGCTGTGCAGTGCCTGCCAGTCTGTGTTTGCCTCTTGCCTCGCCCCTTCTTTCGCAGGACCCGAGCCAGCGCCGCCCCAGGCGGCTGCAGGTCCACGGCCCACATCAAGGCTGTCGGCAGCCTCGTGCCACGTCGCCCCGCCTCCATGGTCACCGCCGCTGCCGCTACCGAAGCGGACGCGTTCCCCACGCTCGTCTCCGCCGAGTGGCTCAAGCAAAACCTAGGCCAGGTCAAGGTCCTAGACGCCACCTGGTACCTCCCAAATGCCGGCAAGGATGCCGTGGCGGAGCACAAGGCGGAGCGCATCCCTGGGGCGCTCTTATTCGGTGCGGCAGCTGGGCCGGTTGCAGAGCTGCTGCACGTGTTACCTGCTGATTGCGCTGCCGCCTTTGCCGGGCCTGGCATGGGCTGCTGCCTCCCACTTCTGTCACTTGGATTGCATGCCGCGTAGACATGGACGGCATTGCCGACCCGGCCTCCACCCTGCCCCACATGCTGCCCTCTGAGCGGCAGTTCGCCGCCGCCGCCGATGCGCTGGGCGTCAGCCGTGACGATGCGTTGGTCGTGTACGACAATACCGGCATCTTTGCCTCCCCCCGCGCCTGGTGGACCTGGCACGTTTTTGGGCACCCCAGGTGTGCGGCCGCGAGGCTGTGCTGTGGCAAGGCAGGGAACGGAAGAGTGGTGCAAGGAGGCTGACGAGTGCGCAACAAGGGGGCCTGGAGTCCAGCCCGCCGTGGCTCCCCCGCACCTGCCGCTGGCGCAGGGTGGCAGTGCTGGATGGCGGCCTGCCTGCTTGGAAGGCGGCAGGCGGCGACATGGAGACCTCCCCAATGGACAACGCCCGCATGGGTGCGCCCGTGGAAGCCTTGCGCAACCCTCCTGCTGCCACCAAGTGAGAAGGCACCACCGCTTGGGCGGACCTGTTGGTTGAAGCCAGCTGTGCCAGCAGATGGGCAGCGCCTTGTTGCTGCTTGCTGCGCACAGCCCCGGTGCTGATCGGTGCTGCTGCGGCGCAGGTACGAGGCGCGGCTCGACGCCAGCCAAGTGCGCAGCTGGCAGCAGGTGCTGGAGAATGTGAGCAGCCAGCAGGAGCAGGTTGTGGATGCGCGGCCGGAACCCAGGTGGGGGCCTGCTGCCGCCTTTTGTGGAAAGAGCTTATGTCATGATGCCATCGGGCTGTTGCCGTCCCGCATCTGTTTGTCCTGACCTTCCCATCGCTGCTGCGCGTGCTGCTCGCTCGTGCAGGTGGCGGGGTGAGGCCCCGGAGCCGCGCCCGGGCCTCAAGATGGGCCACATCCCTGGCAGCAAGAACCTGCAGTGGCCCAATGTGCTGCGGGATGGCAGGTGGGCATCGAGCTGTGCTGCTGTGGGTACGGCTGCCACTGCTCTGCCGCCCACCTTCTGTCTGCTGGCCATGATGTCCCCTCGTCTCCCTGCTTCTCCAGCACCTTGAAGCAGCCAGAGGAGCTTGCGGCGGCGTTCAAGTCGGCTGGGGTGGACCTGTCGCAGCCGCTGGTGTGCTGCTGCGGCACGGGGACCACTGCATGCATCCTGGCGCTGGCGGTGCAGCAGGTGCAGCCGGGCGCCAAGGTCGCCATCTATGACGGCAGCTGGAGCGAGTGGGGGCAGCTGCCGGATGTGCCGGTGGCCACTGGCGGCAGCTAGCAGCGACGTGAGAGCGCGGGGGCCGTTGCACCTGGTGTGGGGCCCATGATGCTGACTGGTGTAAAAACGCTGGGCAGCCGGCAGAAATGGCAGGAGCGCTCACAGTCGACACAGAGTTGTAGATTTATTAGAACAGCCATTCATCAGATGCGATATTAGAACAGCCAGTCATCAGATGCGAAGGGTCTGTGGGGGCTCTGAAAGAAAGAAAGCTGAAGGGGCTCCGAAAGCCAGCAAGCATGAATACATGAGACGAAATCTGGAAGGGAGGACACGGCTCCAGGCCAGGCCCTCAGCTCTGCGCCGCCGCCGCCGCCCGCGTCATCTCCACAATCAGCTCCTTGATGCTCTTGCGGTCGGTGGCGGGGCGCGGGAAGGGCAGCCGCGCCTTGAACTGGTCCTGGCCGCGCTCGCAGGAGACAGTCATGCCCAGGCGATCGATGGACATGATAGCGGCCTTGCTCACTGCGGGGGCAGCACAGAGCACACGACAGAGGCAGGTGGGGATCACAGCACTGCAACACTAGCTTAGTGTACCGGGGTTTGGAGCACTGACCGACTGAAAAAAAGCAGCATCCATCCAACACCGCACAGCACTCCCCACCCCAGAAAGCTGCCACTAGGCATGCCTGGTCCCGAGACCCCCTTCTCACCTGTGATGCCCACGTAATGCTTCATCATCGCCACCGTGGCCTCGGCGTGGTCGGCGTTCATGTGCCCCGCCACCGGCGCCGAGAAGGGAGCCACGGGGTCGGGCTGGGCGGCGCCATACTCCTCCTCTGTGATCTGCTTGCAGTGCATGCGGGGCGAGCGGGCGGGGTCAGTGTGGGGTGAATGGTGCAGGCTAGGGCGGCACACCACTGTCCACGGAGCTGCCAGCTCGCGGCAGGACCGCAAACGCCAGGCCCGCGCACCTTGCCCGACGGCGCAAAGCCCGCAACCAGGCGCGCCGACACGATTTCGTTCATGCGGAACAAGCCGAAATCTCCGAACTCAACCTGCAGAGACAGACGGGGGGAGAGAAGGTCCAAAGGCATGCTGAGTCCCCCACCACATCATTTGCAACAGATGCCCCAAAGAGGCAGTCCCAAGGAGCGAGTGAGCAGCCAGCCAGCCTCAGCAACTAGTCCCCAATCGGCAGGTATTGGTCTGCCTGAAAACTGCCCCTGCCCCCTCTCACCCCAACCCAGACAACAAACGGGTTCCAGCCCCACCCACCCAAACGCTGCTGGGGTGCTTCGACATGTAAACCTCCTTGGCTGCAGCCCGCTCCTCCTCGTTGGAGATGGGCGCCGCCTTGCCAATCAGCGTGACGTGCCCGTCGGCGATGCCCTGCAGGGGCAGCGGCTGAGGCGCTGTGACGGCCACCCTCGCTGGCCGGCGGCAGCAGGCAATGAGGCGTGCAGCCCACCGTCTGAAGGAGCTCTTCAGGCAGGGGAAGGGCGACGACGCACCCTGAACGGCTCTGCCATCACGGTGAATGAGCAGCGCCCGTCCTTCTTGATGTCGGCGGTGTGGGGGCTCATGGTGGAGAAGGCAAACACGGGGCGGCCCTGCAGGGCGGCGGAGCACGAGGGCCCCGCGAGGGAGAGGCGCGCAGGCGAGCTCGGGCTGGCTGGCAAACCCTGCTCCTCACTAGGGCGGAGCCAGGCGTCGCAGCAATGGGGCAATCCTTTCCGCCTGCCATGCATGCTGCCCAAAGCTTGGCCGGACTGCTAGCCTCGCCAGCTTGCCAGCGGGGCGCACCTTCGAGTCTGCCGCAAACTCCACCACCGACCCGCTGGGGTAGCCCTCCAGCTCCCCACGCGCATTGGTGGACAGCACGCCAAACCTGTGCAACGCACGCCACGCACACCGGCACGCGTGTGAGGCCTGCAAGGGTGAAGACGCAGGGGGGCCGGGGCGGTGGCGGTGGCGCAGCCAGCACGGCGGGCCCCCACGCACTTGCCCAGCGCCACCAGCGTCCTGGCCTCCTCCGCAAGGCTGATCCGCGCCGCCGTCTGCTGGTGCTCGCGGTAGGCCAGGATCTCGGGGTCGGTGGCCTGGAGGAACACGCGGGATGTCGCTCCCTTGTCAGGCCAACAGCTGAGGGGCATCGAAACCGAGGGGAGTAGCGGCGGCGGCAGCGTGAAGCACTGAGCGGGCGCCATATCCCCCTCTGCCACCCCCCCAATCCACAGCCGGCTGCTCACCTCCAGGTTGGCGGCGCTGTTCTGGGGCGCCTGGTGTCCGCGCTGCGGCTCCTCCTTCTCTGCCTGCTTCTCTGCCGCGGCGGGGCCCGCCTGCTGGCTTTCCGCCCGCGCCGCCGAGGGCACTGTGCGCGGCTGGCGCCACGCAGATGCACCCTGCTGCCTGCTCGACAGCGCAGAGCAGCCCAGGCGGCCTGGCACCTGCAAGGAAGGAGAGCAAGTGCCGATCGATTCCACCAACGAGGGTAGCAGGGCCAGACAGGCAATCCGATCCACGGCCAGGACTCATAATTGAGGATCCAAGCAGCGCCAAGCGCGGAACCTCACCGTCTTGCCAATGCTTCTCGCAAGCTGCCCCCGCATGTCTGGCCACGCGAACTTGTGCAATATACCCAGAAATCACAGAGACAAAGGGCCTGATCCGACCATTGGTGGGCCGAGTGGGGCCCGACCACAGCTGGCGGCAGCGCGAGAGCGGCGCCAGCTCGCGCAGCTCCAGGCGGCGGGAAAGGTAAAGGTAAAGGTGGGGAAGAGCCTCCACAGGCTTAACTTCCCGGTTTTAACGTCTAGCTTTAGACCATTATTTGATCTGCCCGACGCGCCAAGTGCAGTACCCCCCACTAGTAGTGAATGGGTCCCGGGGCGGTAGCGAAGGGCGGTGCCGCTGGCTAGAGCACTATGTGCACAACGTGGTGGGCACCCTCAACCTGGCGCCCGCCATGTTTGGGCAGCGCGAGACCTGCCGGTACCTGGTACCTGGTACATGCACGCAGCACGGCGGCGGCAGGACCGCAAGGCGCTTGCGCTCCAATGCGACCCGGTGCGCAGCTGCGCTCCAATGCGACCCGGTGCGCAGCTGC